GAAGAAATAAAAATGTCGTTCTACAGAAGGATGCTGAGAATACCATGGACTGAACAAGACGAAGTTTTCGAGAGAATGGAAGCAAAAAGAACACTTATATTTAGCATCGGATGAGACATACTTAGCATCAGACTGTTGAAATTTCTAAAGCACATAACGAGAAAAGAGGGCAGGGAGAATTTGACACTCACTAGGCATACGAAAGGCAAGAGAAAAGCAGCGAATAACCAACAAAAGCTTCTGCGAATGACTGTCAGAATAGGGATTAGGGCACATAGTTAAAAGATAACCTTCACTAAGAGCTACAAAGAACAGGAAATTGTGGAGAGTCATGATCGTCTACGTACTGAATGGATACGGCAAATAGAAGAAAAACCTTATCAATCCCAAAATCATCTATGTTTGTGCGAACCTCTTTTGGTCCTTATCCGCTCTTCTTATTTGTCTTGGCTATTGTTGCTCTCACTCTAGATTTGAGTATCACGGATCCTTTTATGCTTTTATTTACTGTAGGTATCTACTTTGTTGTCATGAAAAATTTGCATCCACAGTCTATCGTTATAGTCCTTTTTCTTTGTTCGTAACATTCCTTTTATACATACCAGGTAAGAGAGCCTGTCTTCTGCCTTTATGCATGTCCGTTGCCTCTATATACTTCAGTTTGTTTAGTCTCAGTGCACTTCCTGTTTAATCCTTCATCTTTAGCCTGCTTATATTTATCTCTGATAGTTTTGTTTAGTCTTAGATGTCTTTCTACATTTTTATAAACGTTTCACTTTAATAGTGTTGTAACCCAGAGATGGTCACCGAATAGAATAATCAAACGAAGGTTGGTAATGAACGATAATACACAAGAACAACACATATAAGATTCGCCAGCGGCGCGTAGAAAAAGTGGCCAACTGCTAGAAGTGAGTCAAGTGAATTCAATAATGAATCTCGATATCTACCAACCGCCCCATGCGGGCAAATGTGGCACAAGGCCGAATTTAATGTAGGGTATCAGAATCTGTAGGTTCGGCCAAAAATTCCCCGTAGACCCCTTATAAAACGGGGTCGGGTAGCTGTTTCCCGAGACGAGAGACTGTCATTCAACATAGCATCGTCTGGGGATCCACTCTTCCCTTGACTAGCACAGCTGGAGACGAATCTCCAACTACAGACCAACATACAGTATTTACTACTGTATTTATGTGAATGGGGACATAGCAATTATCGTCCATAGGCATGCTACAATAAATAGTATGATAGATAAAAATGTCTGCAGTGTTAATGGTCAAAGGATAGTAATTTGACTATCCAACAAAATCAATGACTAGAAAACAAATCTCGCAGACCGACAGATATATTTAATGTCTGCCTTCCAGTAGTTAACTGGTAAATTAAGTTAAGCTTCATAAATACTTAATTTTCTTTTTCATTATTAAAAATACAATAACACATTTTTACATAATCTAAAAACAAAGGAATTCATTTGTACAGAATCAAAGAGAAGGCATTATTATAGTAATAAGGTTGACCTGGGACGAATTTATAATACAGATATGATGTTGTACCACAGAAAATAATGTATTCATAACAATTCATAATTTGACGTCATTAACGTGAATTCCAGTGTATATGTATCATTTGCTTCAATGAACCTGGTCAGTTATATTTTAATTTCGAGATGGTACATTCATTGTAGAGTAACTGTTTCTTACGCTTGAATCTAAGTTGTCTGGATATAATTATTGATTTGTTGTTATTATTAATTTAGATTTTACTACAATGCATTTGTAACGGGGAAGAACCGCTAAAGAAAGCGATAAAGAATAAAGAATACAACGTCGGTTCCAGAAATATATCTCCAGGGAACATAAAACGGAGTCTTGATGATAATATCCGAACATTCAACAACCGACAAAAATGTAATAATTAACAATAATAATAATGATAATAATAATAATAGAAGCCTTTGTTCTAAGAAAAACAAAGGTTTTTCAACAAATATTTGGGTTTCTCTTCTTTTTTGAAGTTCAATGGAATTTTGCACATCACTGCTTATTTTCAAAAAAAAATTGTGAAACCATTTCAGTAATCTTTAACACATTTTGTTTTCAGCGATTCATTCTATGAAAAAGCATAAGATTAAGTGCACTGGCAGAATAAGATAACGAAAAATGGATACTTGTGTGAAAAAGAAAGGTCTTTTCCATCATTTGTGGATCTGCATATATATATATATATATATATATATATATATATATATATATATATATATATATATATACGTGTGTGTTTTACCTTTAAGCTATTTTAAGCTTATTTGGCAGATGGTCTAAAGAACGCTTATGGCATGATAGTGACATTCTACAAGCAGTACTGATTCCTATATCCACGCTGTCAACACCAACAAACATTCTATCTCAAACATTAGGCATTCTCCCCTACATCCATATATTACCTATATCGGACATACTACCACCTTGAGTAGATGTCTCATGTGTCACGTATTTGATCAAAGTACTATAAAAAAAAAAAAACATCTATGGACACACAAGAAACCTTCAGAAAAATTATTGTTGAAAACACTAAACTTTTGGCACTTCCTTACATCGAACAAAAGGATAAATGTAAGAACGCTCGAAAAACTAAGTAAAAATAATTAAATTTTCCATGTCTGTCATATTTAACGAAATATGTTTAAAGGATTGCTGCTCATATATATATATATGTGTGTGTGTGTGTGTGTAATGTATCGAAAAAACGTACCAACTAAAATCTATACGAAATAAGCATATAAACTTTAAAAGTCGTTATAATATTGACCCGAAGAAGGTTGAAGAATATATTGATCGAAAGTTAAATGGATATCATACAATAAAGCTTGATGCTTTTATAAATCTATTCATCCTTAGTAATAAAGAAAAATATCTATTGCTGTCAGTAGGATCTTACATAAATCGACATTACTAAATTATTCCTTAGTGAAGCATCCTTTGTGAATTTGAATCATTTATGATCTGTGAAGAGAGTTCGTTTACGAGAGATTAAAAGCAGGTGTTCAAATCTATTTTTGAGTAATTACCTGTCTATAAATGTGGGAACTTGTATCTTCTTTTCAGAGTCGATATATAGCAGTTACTTCAGCCATAAGAAATTCTATACTTATCTGTTTCTATTCATATCTATACTTATTTTTTATACCTATATCTTTATTAATATTTATTTAAATTACTATTATATCAGGTGTGCGCATGTTTCTAGCGAAAAACCGTTTTCAACCTGTGTATTCACTTTCTTGTTTTCGATAAAAGAGTGATGGAAAATTTTGCACCCCCGTTAATATATCTAGATCTATAAATTTAAATACATACATCTCTATCTTTTTATCTAATACTAGCAGTAGAGCCCCGGCGTTGTCCGGGGATGTAACAATAAGAGATAGATCAAGTATCGACCATCATAAAGACTGAAAAATAAAATTGACAAAGATTATTGTTTAAGGTTGACGGACACGCATGTCTTAATTAGTTTTTTTTTGTTTTTTGGGTTTTTTTTACGAATTAGTCAAACCCAAACTCAAACAAAAACATTGTTTTCAATCGTTATGAGTCTATCGATTGAATAGAATTTTATAATAAACAATTGTCTTGTAAATGGAATTTTTAAAGCATTCTGAATTTAAAAATAAAGAAAAAAAGTGTGCAAGACAATAAGAAACACTGCCAAAAAAAAAAGTGAAGTTTTGTTGAAATCGGTTGAAAAATGTAGGAAATCCGATCCCATATATAAACGAACACACACACAAACAACCTGGGTTTTATAATAAGTATAACTCGATATGAGTTGTCCCCCTTTCATTCTAGCGATAGAATCGTGTTTTCAAATTGATTTCGTGCAAAAAGATTTGTGCTTTTTCAATTTGGGGCGCTGTCAAAACCACCGCAAGGTAATTTTATGCAATCCTGTGAAGTTTTGTTGAAATAGGTTGAAAAATGTAGGAAATTCGATCCAATATATAAACGCACAGACACACACACACAATCTGCGTTTTATAATAAGTAAGATTACATGCGAATTGAAAAGGTGAAAGAAAGAGAAATGAAGAACGCCGGATAAAGAAGACTGTAGAATTTATCGGTCGTAGCTCATTGTAAAATGAAGACAGCACTCCTAATAACAGATGGTATTTAAATATTTATACACACACACAAATAAAATCTGTCATAAAAATCGGTTATAATCACAACAAAATCAAATCTGGAATAAGGAATAATCATAGGTTTATATTTAAAAGACCTTACAATTTCAGCACTGACCAGGGAAAATATATTGAAAACATTTAAACAAAAAAGTTCCACTATACAAGTTTTCGTATACAATGCATAAAGAAAAAATATGAAAATCCACGAAACACATTATATATATGTTATTAAATGGACAAAGTCCGACAATTATTTTAAGACATTTTTATATTTATACATTCATTTTTATAGATACAAATATTTAAGTAAATGCTCTGTTTATAATAAACAGTATTAACAACATTTACCGGCCTGAATATCCGAGAAATTGTCATAGAAAATATGCGTCCTCCCACACGGATATTCAGGCCGGTTAATGTTGTTAATAGTGTTTATTATAACAGAGCATTTACTTAAATATTTTTATCTATAAAAAGAATGCATAAACATAAAAATGTCTTTATATATATATATATACATATATATATATATATATATATATTAGTATAAACGACAACACAAAAATAGTGTTTTGGCTGAATTGATTTTTACAGTTTTTGTGTATAATATATAAATATTTAAAGCCAGAAGATATTTTTTAGATTGTAAGAATTTAGGGAAGATGATAATTTACTGATACAAGTTCTACTAATTAAACTACGTCTGGAGGAGAATAGGTGAATTTATACTTTACCAAAGACATTTTTGCATATGTGAATATAACGAACCCGATTGGAATTGAAACTCATTATACTAACCGGACATTCAAACTTACAGTACCTGGTATTTCCAAGCTGCCACCCATCAAGAGAGTGACCAGGTTCTACGTTGCTTAACTACGGTGATCGTACGGGAAGCGGTGTTACAACGTGATATGACCGTAAGCCCATGAAACCTAAGCTCATTATATTACCTACAAATTCCATAAATAATGAACTTGTAATAAACTTAGCTAATTTCAGTATTATCGCAAACACTTCAAAGACAGTTAACAATTTAATCAATGTAAAACAAAGAGCGAACTTTACAACAAAAGCAGTCGGTGTCTACCAAAATACATCGGAGAAACATCCCGAGATTTAAAGAGAAGCGTATACAAAAATGAACGGGACTAATATTAAACAACACATTCCCTTGTAAGCCACTGAAACCTTCGTGATCACCATTTTGATGTAGAAATATCCGTTTTTAGTAAAAAACGAATATAATTTACTTAGAAGATGGAACATTGAAAGTACCATGATGTGCGAATCCACTGCGATTAATATACGATCAAGTTATTTCAGTTTATTGCCTCTTCTTACTGAATTACAATAAAAGAACTGAAATGTAATGAGTAAAAGTCTAATTTCTATAATAATGCAGGTAAAGCAAAAATTAAGCGTTCAATAGTATTACGTGAATCACGTTGTCCCGCTAATTTAACTTTTGATCTTATAAAATAAAATTCTCTTTCTGATGGTATCGGGTAATCGAAGGAACATGTCAAATGGGGTGCTGAGAAGTTCTCAAGAATGGATTCCCTTATTGAAAAAGAATTCTCTTGTCTGGCCATTTGGTCAGAACTCAGGTAGTGTATATATGTGAGTTATTTTCTTTAAACGTACTTAACAAACTTGTGTAAATACATGGTTTACGAGAAATAGGAAAAAGGCAAAATTTACTAAGAGCTAAATGGACAAGAAATTATGACGTTCCATGACTGCCAATGTCCTGAAGCGGCATGTTACATAGATGAAGAAGAAGAATGTGATTTTATTGTCGCTCTGATTTTTAGCATTGACCACTGTCTTTAAATGCTGTCTCTTTTTCTCGAAATAGTGATTATAGACATTTCGAAATATATAATTTATTTTATGATATTAAAACATGTTAAAAAATCGCTACACAATTATGTTTGGACACCAGTGAAATCATATTCCATTTGTTTATATATATATATATATATATATATATATATATATATATATATATATCAAATTTGTGGTGCAGTTCAATTTATATTACAATGAATCATTCATAAAAAAATAGATGACTAAAGTTACTGATATAAAATGGCGAAATCCTTTCGCAAACAAAATTTTAAAGTTGCATTAACCTACGAATCACTCGATGAATATTATGATCCTTGTTTTTAATAATTATAAGCTGTATTGGGTCTTTTTTTTAATATGCAAGTACTTTCAACAGTACATTCAGTCATCATCAGGCATGGAAATCCAGGTAGCATCTGAGACGAAAAAATAAAATGCGAGTCGAAATAATTTCTTTTTCTTTTTTTTTTAAATGTGTTATTGGTAACGGATACAAACTTTTGGAGCGTGAAGTTGCAACGCTAGGGTTGAATTTTTTGAAAATTTAAGAGTGTGCGATTTTTTACTAATATGGTAATAATCAGATATATTTTACAGGACGAAGTTCCTCACCGCATTGTACACTGGTAACCCTTTATTACAAATATTTTTATTTATTAAATTTTGTGGAAAGAAGAAAAAAAAAAACACAGAAAGCAAAAATTTCAACAAAAAGAACAAACTTATTTTTCAAAAGATATCTCCAGATGTTAATCCTTCAACAATCAATTTTTTTTTTAAATATCCGGCATTCTGAATTCCCGAAAAGAGAGAAAGAAAGAAAAAGCTTAAACTGCAATAGTCCATTCGTGATAAAACCCACGAAAATTACTGACTTTTCATCAGGAATGACCTCCCACCCAGTTACACCTACACGGATAGGCACATATGGCACATACCAATACATTAATCAACTGAAGTAGGTGTAATGGTGGCAGAAAAGTGCAGTCAGTCGAGTGGCAATTGTTTACAAATAGAAATGACTGACCGGGTGGATGTGGGTGTCAGCGATTTTCTAGTGTTTGGCGCTTTAACTACATGTGAAAAATAACCTGTTACCGTGCAAACAAAACGCATAAGAATTCCTAGAGTCGTCTTTTTTCTTGATTCGAAAAAAAAAAAAAAAAGTCTAGTAAAAGTAGTGATTGTTCTAATTTCATTCTATATCTATGAATCCGGTGCAAATATGTTTGGTTTGAGTTAAAGATACAACGCCCATTAGATCACTCTTCTAAGAAAATGTGGGTAGGGAAGGTGTTTAGCCAACGTATCTCACATACACTCATATAGTGAGTTCGATCCTTATTAAAGTTTTCATTACAGTCCCTTTATACTAGATTAAAATTACTCTCAGGATATATAATTCTATCCGTTACATGTTGTTGGTGTTGGCATTTGGATTTTTCCTCGAATCCAATTAAAGTGTTTCACGATAATTCTTTTATTTATTGTTTTATTTCAACTTTGTTTGCACTGAGCTGGTCCCATATTTCCCACTGGTGTCAAATTCTCGGAGCTTAAGCCTAAGTAAAACAACAGGATATTTTATGATCATTTTTAACGCAAGTGTTTGAAAGATTGGTTCAGTACTAATCCTCTCTGCTATAGTCATCATCAAAGACTGCAGGCTTGCCGGAACGTTCTGTCTTTCAGATTAAAATTTCCACTTCTGAACGTAACAAACCAATTACAAACTGAACAGTCAGCTATAGCACCATCTCCATAAACGGCACATATCTTTTTGCTGTTTGTACATTGATTTTTCATTTCTGAAAACGAGCATTAAATGTTTCCTTTTTAACGTACAAACATTAATTCCACACACGAATCATGTAAAGACGTTTTGAAATGTCACCTTTCAGGATGTGTATTTTTGTCATAATCATGTGTGAAAGAAAATTACGTGTTCTTAATTTTGCTACCATCTCAGTATTTTGTAACAATTTGTGCCGTGTCTTTCGGTTCATTGTCATGTTCGAACGTCCAGTTTACGCCCCAAAGACAACTTTCATGCACTTTGTATTATATTATCCATGATACCCTGTATTCACTCTTGTTCTCCTAGCCCAGAAGCAGCAAAACATCCCCAGAGCAAAATCATCCTACCACAGTGCTTAATCTTAGGGATAGTATTTTTTGGTTTGTGAACTTCATTCACTTTCCTCCATACATAACGGAGGTTCATGTAACCAAATAATTCAAGGTAATCTGCATTTTAAGTTTTTAACCTTAATCAAGAGAGTTTTCCTTGGGCGACAATCTCGAAGTCCTGCACGATGAATCTAGTGACGGTCTTCGACGATACATTCAACCCTGATGTCTTTACATCATCGACATTGTCCTTTGTTATGTCTCGAAGAATCCTCACTTAATGGCAATTTTCCTTTCCATTCTCTCAGAAATTAACCGTTTTCTGAAAGTCCTTAATTTATTATCACCACAAGGAATCACATAATTCTTCATAATGTTACGAACTGTCGATCTAGGAACATTTACACGCTTGGAAAGTGTTCCATATCCCTCGCCTTGTTTGTACACATCAATTATCTTCATTTGGAGCTTCTTGTCAAGTTCAGCCGTCTTCACCATTTTTGCAGAATGAATGGGTTATCGCGGCACGTAGCACTCACATAATCTTCTTCATTACCTTTTAGAATATTATAGAATTAGGTCAATACTATTTCATTTTCAAATAGTGCTTTGTATTAAATGTCAAATTAAGAAACAAACCATTACAAATCCTATAAAAAAATATTATTTCATAATTTCCGTAAAGGTCTGGCGAATAATTTTGGACTGCACTCATTTTTCGAAAACTATAACTATGAGTATAATAGATGGAAACTTCTAAAAAAAATCACGAATTATTCAAAACTAAATACGGAATCAACTAATTATGGTAAATTCAGTAAATACTTGCAAATATTTTCATTTCCTTAGAAAATATGCAAATATTCAGGCGGAGGTGGGGCAATAATTCTGTCCATAACTGTATTGGGTTTAAAATTTCAAAAATATATAATTTAAAAAAATAATTTCATATTTATGTTTTAAAATTTGATATGTATATATATTGGGAGAAAAATTCATGAAAAGTGGAAAAAGTTTTTGTATTTATTTATTCATTGGGTTTGTCACGATGGGCCGTTTTTCTATTTTTGGAATATTTTATGATGATTTTGTTGTCACATTGAATATAAGATAATTTGGGCACTGAAGAAGCTTGAAAGTGTTTTCAATGTATTCCTCCTGACCAAAGGAGAAAATAGTTCACCAAGGTGAAAATGTTTAGAGAAGTGCATTGAACGCAAGTTCACTCACACTACGTTTACGCCTTGTCTCTTAAAACATCTCACCATTCCTGGTAGATGTCCTGTTGTAACAATGTGGAATATCTAATATCAAAAATGATGGAAAATAAAAGAAAAAAAAATAAAATCGGCTAGATTATATAAAGAAAGATTTTAATTTTAAATTCCCAGCACTTCCACTTCTTGTTCGTAAGCATGTGTAGATGCACCATCGAACAAATCTACTCTGATGAAGTCCTAAAGGACGAAATGTCTCACACGAAAACCTTTTCCATTTCATCATACATTCTCTACCAATATTGTTTTTGATATATAAAAAATTATATATCATTATCTCATATATAAGAAGTGTGGACACTGATGTGGACACTGTCCGGTAACAGAGTTTCCTACTAGATCACAACCCAACCTTCAGGCTATGAAGATCGGGGTCAAATATGAAACAGATTGTTGCCACTTGGTGTTGAAATCAGTGTTCACACTTCTTACACACGTTATATCCCGGATATTGAGTACTTTTATCTGATAAATATAGCATACATTAAAACTATATATATGTGTGTGTGTGTGTGTGTGTGTGTGTGTGTGTGTGAATTTTACAAAAATAGGTTTGACTCAGACTTGGATTAGTCTCGTGATAATTTGCTACTATCCACCGAGTGACAGGATCTTAACATCAGCTTAATTCATTTGAACACATATTGTATGTGTGTGCATAAA